AAATCGGAAGCTCTATGTGTGACTGAGAAAGTTGGAATAAAATGATAAACAGACACAAAAATCAATGTAAACAAGTGGAATCAGATATGAAATGGTGTACCACAGCAATACTTAAAAAGTCATTGACAATCAGCAGGTAGTGTAGAGGTTAAGGCACTAGATCCCACATAGCCAACACCATGGTTCAAATCCCAAACCCAGCAGTATAAAAAACACACCAGGCACATGTGCATGCCCAAAATTCTGAAAGGAGAACAGAAGATTTGGAATTGCTGGGTGGTCAGCCTCTCTGGAGAGTGATTTCTCACTTTCCCTCTCTCTTTCTGTCTCTGTCTCCTGAGAGTGCACATTCCCTACAGCAGAGACAAAACAAAGTCACTGACAATTCAATATGTACTTAGAAAGAACTGTAGAGCTATTATTGAATGTGCACAACATAACGTAATGTTCAGTGTTTAATAAAATGGACATGTCAATATCCTTGATTTGATTATTGCAGGCACTGTACGAATGTTTTGAAAAATCATACTATACCCCACAAAAAATGTGCAATTATGTGTAAACCAGAAATCGTAATGAAAATAAATGAATATCGGCAAAGGGCTGCCTAGAAAAAAGGTCACTCACCACATTGCTCTATATGGTTTAGATATGCTATTTCTGTTTTACATAGTATTTAAATTTTCTGATGATCTTGTTTAAAAATTGTTTATACATTGTAAATTCTATTTTTTCATTTCTTCATTTATGATTCCCCCGTACCCCGTCTAATGTAGATGCATTCCAGTAAACCTAGAAACAATATCTGACAAGATTTGAACACAGGGAGGAGAGGAAAGGAAATAAATATTTTCCAACTTGGGATCGGGAATATGTTCAATCTTTGCATGTGTTTATCAGACGGGTTTAATAATGCACATTGTAGAATAAAACAGTTTATAACTGAATTATTTGCTACTTAGTCCATATGTCCAGGAAATTACACAACATGGACCATTTTCAATAACTTTTTACTTCAATAATTCCTTCCTACTCAGCAACAGAGCTATACAAACCAGTTTGGTCTAGAGATGCAATATGTCCAAATACAAATGTATTTTTAAAAATTAAAATATATTTTCATTTTAAAAAAGAGAGATAGTATGGATTTCAAAATTTTTGCACCAAAATAAACACACATTTTAATTCCATTTTCCAAAAAAATTACTTTAAATCATGATTTGTTTAATTTTAAAAGTATTATTATTATTATTTTAAAATTGCTATGGGGAACATGCACTCACTAGAGAAAGACAGAGAGAGACAGAGAGAGAGAGAGAATGAGAAGCAAGCTGCCAGGTCTGGGACTCCGACCACAGTGGGCTATGTGGGAGTCCAGCACCTTAACAACCACACCACCTGCTGGCCCTTCCACACAATTTTTTGAAGTTCCTTGCTATGTATGCAGTAAAGTGCCAAATAGATGTTTTAAGAACTGGACTTTAAAATAGAAATCAAAATATGCCCTCAGAAAGAATGCAGAAAATCCTCAGAATGTTCATTGCAGCGAGGATGCCTGAACCTGTGTGCCCAAGAGAACTGTCTCCATGTAGGCTGGGCATACTGCCTTTACCCTGTGTGGATCGTATTTTGAGGCATTAAATGGTGCATGAATTGAAAGGTCTATAGTATTCAATAAGGAAAAAGTGTAGTGTACTAGGAATAGCTTTTAAAGTACTTTCCTATAATACATGAACACATTTGTGTTTTGACCTTTCATACAATAAAACTGTGCCATTTGGCATAATACAAAAAGAAAGAAAGAGGGAAAAAAAGGAAAGAGAGAAGAAAAGAAATAAGAATGAAAAAAAAAAAAAAAAAGGAAAACGAAAAATCTCCAATCTTTCCCCACCTTAAGACCTTGACTCCAGAAGGATCCTCCTGCCAGAGTGGGAGGCCTGACTCACTGAGAGGCCAGAAATCTGAACGGACAGGCCCTGCTGGGTTTCCCAGCCATCTATGACCAGTTCATGTCTATGCAATGAACTCTCCAGGAAAATCCAAAAGGACAATGTTTGTGTCCCGCCCTGCAGGACAATCGAGCAGGGTGCCTGGAGAGCTTTGGGATCACTGAATGCATGGAAATTCCTGGAGGATGGTGCACCCTGAGAAGGTTTGGAAGCTCTGCACCCCTTCCTACATGCCTAGTCCTCTGCATTTCTTCATGTGTCCTTTACGGTGTCCTTCATAATAAGAAAGTAACCATAACTGTAACCCTGAGTTGTGTGAGCCTGCTCTAGCAAATTATTAGAACCCAAGTAAGGGAGAGGACTGAGGAAACTCCAACTTAAAGCCTGTTGGTCAGAGGTTCTGGAGGCCTGGATCCCACATGACTGCTCTGAGATTTGAGTCCTGGACCTAGCAGGTGAAAACAGACCAGGTGCATGTATGTGTGTGCCCAAAATGAAAAGGTGAATGGAGGAGAAGAGATTGCTGCATGGCAAACCCCTCTTGTGACAGGAGGTGGTGATTTCTCACTCTCCCTCTCTCTGTGTCTCTCTCCAGTAAGCGCATGTGCCCTATGGCAAGAATCTAAAGTAAAAAAAAAGTTCTGGAGGCCAGGATTTGAGACCTGTTTCTGGACAGAGGAGGAAGTTTCAGGGACATAGCCTTCAACCTATGGGATCTAAAGTTCTCTACCTGGAGATGCTACCCAGGCAGAGCATCAGAACTGAATTGGATTAGAGGATGCCCAGCTGTTGGCTTTGGCAGAACTGATTGCTTATTTGTGGAGAGAAATCCTCACTCATTCTGGGATCATGGAAGTGACCCATGTTGTTCCAAATGAGTGGTAGAAAATTGGTGTGTTTTTCTGGACTCGCACATTCTCAGTTATATTAGGGGTCCCTGTGTCATTTCTCACTTTACACTTTCACAGTGTTTATTTTAGTTTGAAGCACATTATATTGTTATTACATGTCTCTCATACTACATGGAGACAACCTTAAAGACAGGGGATATTTGTTTTTTTATTTTGTATCTTCAATATCACGAAGACAAAGAATTAAATATGAGGGACCAGCAGATGCCATAATGGTTAGTCACTGGATTCCCACATGGCTGACTGTGGTTCAAGTTCTGGACCTGGAGGTTGAAACATACCAGGCATGCCCAAAATGCCAAGATGACAATGGAGGAGAAGGGACTGTGGTGTGGCTATCCTCCCTGGGAAATGACTTCTCACTTTATGTCTCTCTCTGTCTCTCCAGAGAGAGCATGCACCCTATAACAAAAATCTCTCCAAAAATAAATAAATAAATAAAATTTGAAAAATAATTAAATATGAATTAGCAAACTATAGTTGCATTACTTTCTTTCTTTCTCTCTTTCTTTTTGGAGAGGTTTTTGCTATAGGGTGCATGCACTCACTAGAAAGACAGAGAAAGACAGAGAGATAGAAAGAGAGAAATCACCTCCCAGGAGGGATGGCCACACCGCAATTCTTTCTCCTCCATTCTCCTCTCAAGATCTTGGGCACGCAAGCACATGAGTCTAGTGTGAGTTTAAGCCACTGGGTCTGGGACTCGAACCTCAGTCAACTACATGGGAGTTCAGTGACATAGCCATTACGCTAACTGCTGGTCCCTATAGTTGCATTTCTGACAGTTCTTGGAGGGCATATACCCCATGACATTAGAATTCCTGAAGTATTTTTGCTTTATTACTGGTCTTAAAGAGAATACACTCAAATTTCACCACTAAGTACATCAAATGTAATGTACTCTTTCTAATATCTTTCCAAGTATAAGCAATCACTCATGTATTAAGTTTACTAAAAATTTTATTTTAGTATTGAAGAAATTTTGAATTTTATCAAATGGTTTTTTTGCATTTCATCAGTTGATCATAAACTTTTAATCTTTTAGTCTCTTAAAATAGGAATTTATAGGGACCAGCAAGTGCCATGGAGGTTAAGGAGCTGGATCGCACAAGGCTGGCTGCTCGGTTTGAGTCCTGGACCCTGCAGTTTGAAAGTATTGTTGGTTGCATATGCATGTGTGACTAAAATCCCAAGAGGAGACTAGAGGGAGAAGGAAATGCAGCATGGCTTCCCCCCTCCCCCCCAAGTATTTCTCACTTTCCCTTTCTCTGTGTGGCAAAGACACATGCCCTCTAGCAAAACCAAAACCAAAAACAAACAAAACAAAGATTTGCAGAAACTAATTGTCTAATGTTAAAACAAAACTCCCTTCTTGGCATAGACTCTACTCATAATGGCCTATCTTTTTATGTATTGCCAGGTTCAGTTTTTAGTTTCGTTTGGCATTGTTAAATATTGTTCATATGAAAGAGTGCCCTCTTCTTTTCCTTTTTTATATTGTCTTTGTTTTTATATTGAAGCTATTCTAAATCAAATATTAAAATTTTAAGTGGAGATTATTAAATATAAGCTTCTCCTCTGTGTTTATACCGTGCACTACAGGGACTCCAATTATAGGTGTTTCACGGTATGGGATTTGGCTCTGCTTCCTGGGAGTTTTACCACTAACTCCTCAGACAGCCATAGGTGTGGAGGACTACAAAAGAGACATATAAATAACATGTTGCATTGTATATCATTAATTTTGACAAGGACTAAGATTCAGACACAAACCAGCATATAAAGAGATGTTATATAAATTGCAGGGTAAGAATTGTAGCAGTTAACAACTTTGCAACAAATTTATTACAAGATAAATTCTTATGAGAGTTAGAAAATTAATTCCAAATTACATTCTAAATTTGAAAATAATACAGATAATGACTAACAACAGGTGACGCATAGTGAGCATTAATAGATTGTATACAAGATTGCTACGCAGGTCCAAAAATTAAAATTAAAATAGGCAGGCAATGGCATGGAGATAATAGTATTTAATAGCTCTAGCATGGAGATTCGACCTAAAGCATCTTTTCTTCCTCTGCTCTGTTATGTTTGATTGAACAAGAACAGCGCCACCCCGGATGTAGGCAGCCCCGGCATGACCAGCTCCTCTCCCGCACCCGGGCCCCTGCAGCTCTGCTACGAGAACGTGAACGGGTCCTGTGTGAAGGCGCCCTACTCGCCTGTGTCCAGGATCCTTCTGTACGCGCTGTGTGGCTTTGGGGCTGTGCTGGCTGTGTTTGAAAACCTCCTGGTCATGGTTTCCATCGTCCACTTCAAGCAGCTGCACTCCCCCACCAACTTCCTCATCGCCTCCCTGGCCTGTGCTGACTTCTTGGTGGGTGTCACCATCATGCCCTTCAGCATGGTCAGGTCGGTGGAGAGTTGCTGGTACTTTGGGAAAAGCTTCTGTACTTTCCACACGTGCTGTGACGTGGCATTTTGCTACTCATCTCTCTTCCACTTGTGCTTCATCTCCATCGACAGGTACATTGCGGTTACCGACCCTCTGGTCTATCCCACCAAGGTCACGGTGCCGGTGTCTGGACTGTGCATCTCCATGTCCTGGGTCCTGGCGCTGGTGTACAGCGGGGCCGTGTTCTACACAGGCGCCTGTGACGACGGGCTGGAGGAATTAACAAATGCCCTGGATTGTGTGGGTAGTTGTCAGCCTGTTATTAATCCATTCTGGATTTTGATAGATTTTCTATTATTTTTAGCACCAACCTTTCTTATGATGGTTCTGTACAGTAAGATATTTCTTGTGGCTAGAAAACAGGCCAAAAGGATAGAGAATGTTAGTAGCAAAAACAGAATCATTATCGGGGACTTACAAAGGTGGCAGGGGCGCCAAGAGAGAGAGAAAAGCAGCTTAAACCCTGGGTATCACGGTGGTAGCGTTTTTGATCTCATGGTTACCCTATATGATTAATTCTTTCATTGATTCTTTTCTGGGTTTTATAATACCCTCCAGTGTTTATCAAATACTTTACTGGTTCAGTTACTATAACTCTTCTCTCAATCCTTTGATATATGCTTTATTTTACCCTTGGTTTAGGAGAGCAATAAAACTAATTGTTAATGGCCAAGTATTGAAAGAGAGTTCATCAACCATGAATTTATTTTCTAAATCAGCCTAAATTTGAAATTACGGAATTTGTTGATAAAATGGAGATTTACTGATAGTTTGTGAACTACAGGGCACCTTGAAGCATTAGCTAGAGACGCGTTTACTCAATGAAAATTGACTCACGATTTATATTTTCCACTTTCGTTAAAGCTATCCATTTCCCCGTTTTATTAGTTTTTTAATTATTTCCCTCTTCTGAGCCTTTCTTCATGCTTAAGTTCCATCACTTCCAGGGGTGTCCCAGTCCTCTGGTCCCTGTTAAAGTCTTGGATATCCTTTTCTCGACGGGATTGATGCTGCTTTCTGCTACAGCAGCTTGTTTGTCAGGGCAGAGGCGTTCTGTAGCTCCCAACAGATCCCCAGATTGTGTGCATCAGCCATGTCAGACTCAGGACAGACTCACAGTTTTTATGTTTGGGATATTTTGCTAGTATGGGGGTAATTATAAGCAAATGGCAATATTTTTGAATTGCAATTTTCTTATGTGTATGTTTTCCTCATCCCATGAGGTTTGTTGTTTTGTCTCCCAGTCTAACGTTGAGCAATTTTCTATCTTCGTCCCTCTATAAGCACTATGCACTATCTATTATCGGTGTTAACACCTGCATTATGGGAGGACCGATCACTTAAGAAATGGTCCTGGCAGACGGACTAGGTCATCGGGAAAGTCATGATATATTTCTCTGTGCTAAGTGGAGTCATGACTTTCCAGAAAAACCAACAGTTTTTTGCAAAAGTGGATTATTTTTCTTTATATCATTTGCAAACTAAAAGTGATTCCTTCTAGATGTTAAAACTTTAAAAGAACATATTGTTTTGATATTTTTAACTAGTAGAATCATAGCAGAAAACCAGTATAGAATCATGCTTTCGAATTAAAAACTTTAAACATTAGTAGAAAACAGCACCAAGTTAAAAAAATACACCTTTGAAAAACTGTTGGTCTCATACAGTATGAAGAAAGGATTAATAGCTGTAAAAATAAAAAATTATTTTATAAAACATTAAGACCAAAACCAATACACGGTACACGAAAAATATAGGAAATTTTACCATAGAAAAAAATACAAAACTAATAAATATATTAAAATACCAATATTACAAAAGCTTCTGGTCAAAAAAAAAAAAAACTAAAACTTTTTTCTTGAAATAAAAAAAAATGCATTAAAATACCTATCTGATGACTGCAGTAAGCTATATAGCCCCAGCCAGGTGCTACTTTGTAGTATGTTCATTCTACTCACTGAGGTTTATGCTTAAAGTCAGACTTGTGTTCATGTATATGTATATATCAGCTGTGCTTGCTATTCAAACATTTAGATTAATCAAGAGCTTTAGTGAATCAATAAAATGTGGTGGGGAGAAGGCATGGGAAGCAACCATAGATACTAGAGACAGTGTGGGAGGGGGGTGGGAGATGCCAAAGGGTGACAGATAGGGAATGAAGGATGGGAAAAAAAGCAAAATATACAGGAAACAAGAAATGGACAATTATTTGTCAATGATAACACATATGTTGATGTGCTTGATTGAGCCAATATACAGTGTATTCTGGATGGGAAATCTCATTTTGTATGCTGTAGTGATGTACAGTGAATGAATGTAAATAAATAAATTAAAATTAAAAAATGCCAAATATTATAAATAATCAAAAATGCTTTCAAAACTATGATAGCATTTTATATGTCAAGTTGACATTTATTAAAAAGATTAATAACACATGATGATAATTAGAGTGTGAGGAATTCAGAATTCTCATAATAATCTATCATGCTCATATTCATTTCACAAGAATATAATTTCATATGCCCTTTTTGAGGAGCGTTAAAAATTTGTTATAAGAATTTAAAAGAAAGCTGACCCCATAGCCTAGTGTTTAAGGAATCCAGATCGCATATGGCCAACCGCAATTCAGTCCTGGCAGCATCTTGAAGAACACGCTGGGCATATATATCTGTGCCTCTCTCAAATCCTGACAAGATGGACAAACGGAAGAGATGAGACTGTGGTGTGACTATGTCCCATGGGGGGAGGTGGTTATTCTTTTCTTCATCTCTTGTCTCAATCTCTCTTTATGTTTCTCTGTCTCTCCAGAGACAGAGAGTGTGGGTGCCTTCTGGCAATTAGACAAAATTAAAAGATAAGGGGATGGCAAGTGGCATGGTGGTTAACAGCGCTCAACTCCCACATGACAAACCACAGTTCAAGTTCCAGACCTGGCTGCTTGCTTTCTCACTTTCTCTCTCTCTCTCTCACTCTGTCCCTCTCTCATAAAATTAAAATAAATAAATAAAGTTAAATAAAATAAATATTAAAAAAAAAGACAAATATTCCATGTCCAACAAGTGACCTTAAGAAAAGAGTCAGGGGAACCAGCAGTTAGCATAATGGCTATGTCGCTGGACTCCCACGTAGTTGACTGCAGTTCGCGTCCCAGACCCGGTAGCTTAAAACTCACGCCAGGCGCGTGTGCGTGCGTGCCCAAGATCCTGAGAGGTGAATGGAGGAGAAGGGACTGCAGCGTGACCATCCGCCCTGGGGGGTGATTTCTCGCTTTCTGTCTCTATGTCTCTCTCTGTCTGTCTGGTGAGCACACGCGCCCTATAGCAAAAACCTCTCCAAAAAAAAAAAAAAGAAAAGAAAAGAATCAGGTAAACAAGAGAAAATGACAATATGTTTATTGTATAACAATTATTAACTAAGGAAAAGCAATGTAAGTATGGGCTACTTTAAATCATATTATACCTAGGTAGTGGATTATTATGAAGCTGTAAGTTGTTAAAGGCCAGCATGGTGACATTGTGCTAATGCAATACAACCCATTGTCAAAGCCACATGGGAAAGTCCTGGATCCATGTCCTGCAGTGTCCCTGTACTCACCAGGAGTGTGCAACAGTGCGTGATCCTGACCGACTGAGGCTGAGGCTGAGGGTGGAATATGGTGTGAAGACCCTGTTGGGAGTTACTCCTTCTCTTTTTGTGTCTCTTGGAAGAAATAAATATATAAACCAAAAGGGGTAATAAAGAGGTAAGTGGTTTTGTGTGAACAGACAAGGAAAGACAACAAAATATATTTTGACTAAAAAGAAAACTCTCACTCAGATAGCAACATGTTATAGGTGATATGGTGCGTTCATACGTATATATACATATATATGGAGGCTGGAGGATTGCAGCATCGAGTCCGTCTCACTCTCTCTGACTCTCTCAGCGAGCGCACGATTTTTGAGTTCAGTAGTTAGTGTAATGGCTATGTGGCTGGACTCCTATGTAGTCGAGCGTGGTTCAAGTCCTGGACCCGGTGGCTTAAACTCATGCTGGGCACGTGTGCATGTGTGCCCAAGATCCCACCAAGAGGAGAATGGAGGAAAAGGGATTGTGGTGTGGCCATCACCCCGCCCCCCCCGCCCTGTAGTTTACAAACTAACTATCAGTAAATCTCCATTTTTTCTCACTTTCTGTCTCTCTGTCTTTCTGGTGAGCGCAAGTGCCCTATAGCAAAAAAAAAAAAAAAAGTTTTGAAAAATAGAACTAGAGTATATGTTTTTTTGGTGCAAAATCCATTCATTGTTTTTTCATAATATGCTTTTTCTATGAAGTTTTGAAGACTCATCTATAAATTTATATTATTGATTCAATGGTTCACTCAGACTTACTCTTTCTGATTTGGCCTCCTGGGAAGCTGGAACTACAAGCACACACTACCACGCCTGGTTTTAGTGTGGGCCAATTATCGAACCTGGGACCATTGTGGGCCTTCCGTCTGTTGAGTAGCAGTAGCTAATAGTGAATGTGACTATTGTTGGGCTTGTATATATTCTTGTATGTACTTTTCACAGTTTAATTTATATCTTGTATAAAAACAGGATAAAAGACATCGTGTGTGTGTTTGTGTATGTGTGTGTGTGTGTGTGTGTGTGTGTGTGTGTATCTTTGGATATTTACTTTGTAATGTAGCTCTTTTATTTGAATATTTGTGATAAAATAAATATATGAAAATCGATAGTATCTGTGAAGTCGCAACTGAAATTTATTTTGCCAATGGTTTTAGAATACACTGAATAAAGCTTCTGTTGAAAATATACAATAAAATCGATAGTACCATTTCACATATCTCAGTTCTGGTTGAGCTCTGAGCTTGATTTATCTGTTTGTGTGTTTCAGTGTAAGAATATCTTTTGAGGGCATATGTTTCCTTATCTAATGAAACTTAAGTTTTAGCTGCATTGGTATATTTTAGGAACTATGTCTGAATGCAATTAAGATGCCTTAGAAATTACATCTTAATGTTGTTGAAATATTTAAATGCTTTGCAGCAGGTCTTGAAGATCCTCAACTATCTTCCATCGATGCCTTTTTCATTTAATTCTTTCTTCCATGAGCAAGAGAGAGGGGAAGAAAAACAGGCACTCACAATAAAGTCTTCAGTCTGTTTCCAGCTTCAACCAACGCTGGCTCATTAACACTTGTGTTGAGAGAGGTGAACTCAGAAATGTCCATGCAGATCAGCCTTGCAAAGGGTTTCTACTGTACCACGTTGCAGCCTCATCAAATGTTAAATGTGCTCTACATTATGGAGTATGGAAACTACCAAAAGTCATTCCCGAGATCTATTACCCACAGGACCATATGGTTAGGTACCATAGTGAAAATGAATTCAAACGTTTGCTAATTTGCTCATCTGCCAGTAACCATGGGTGGTTAATTGCAGGACATTCCTCCTTTGCCTCAACGAGAATTCCAAAATCTATGTATGCTCACTATACAATATGGTGACGTATTTTCATAAAACCTATACATATCCTCATGTACACTTGAAATCATTTACAATATATAGTACCATGTAAAGGCTATGCAAACAATTGTTAGACGGTATTGCTTAGCAAAAAGCTGACATGGAAAAAATAACAATGGTACATGTTCAGTAGAGATGCAGCCATTATTTTTTGAACCATGTTCAGTTGAATCCTTGAATAGGGAGTCATGGATACGGAGGGCCTTGGCTATGAT